GGGTGCGATACCGGCCCAGGCGGTCGAATGTCGATGGAGGTGACACAATTGAAACCCGTGTACTGTTCGTAGTCAGTTCACGGTAAAATATATACCGTGTGTCTCATAATCATATTGCGTGGCCTGAGTGTGCGCACTGCGAATAGGTAAGGGTGCACTGAGATTGCGGAGTGCACAATGATCTATGGCATTTAGTCTACGCCGAAATTCTGCCGCCATGATTTTCGAGTTACCCTTCTTGCCATATGCATTTATTTTCACAAGGCGGAACGGAGGTGGAATTTTAATTAAGTGCGATGCATTCGTTAGCGAACCTAAGACACACTGACTGTTTCTATCTATCTATCTATCTATCTATCTATCTATCTATCTATCTATCTATCTATCTATCTATCTATCTATCTATCTATCTATCTATCTATCTATCTATCTATCTATCTATCTATCTATCTATCTATCTATCTATCTATCTATCTATCTATCTATCTATCTATCTATCTATCTATCTATCTATCTATCTATCTATCTATCTATCTATCTATCTATCTATCTATCTATCTATCTATCTATCTATCTATCTATCTATCTATCTATCTATCTATCTATCTATCTATCTATCTATCTATCTATCTATCTATCTATCTATCTATCTATCTATCTATCTATCTATCTATCTATCTATCTATCTATCTATCTATCTATCTATCTTCTGATTGCAATCAATGTTAAAAGACAGCTGTTGCTCCTTGCATTGTATTGAAAAGCTTTAATCTATTTTGTTCTGTATTGCTTGTAAAGTAGGCCCCCTTGCAATGTCAAAGTTTGGGGCGTCATTTTGTACATTATTATCCTGCAGGGTTTTAAATCATTATAGTAAACTCATTCTAAATTTCTGTTGTCTTTATAATTGTCCTTTCAAATAGCGAGAAAACTGACGCAACTCCAGCAAATGAGTTAGGGTGTGACTTTTCACAATGCCGAGTTACTTAGACTTATCAGTATACTTTTAGCGAGACAATCCCTGATCGTACATTGCTGTCTGTTTTTACCTTTGGTGACTAGCGCTAGACAGACTCCAGGGTCTAGCCTTGCTCGATTCCTCTCGAGTGACATTTTGATTAGCCAAAGGCGATTTGAGATCATGATTCAAATCCTCGTGACCGAACAGCAGTGGTACAAAGAAAAAAAAATCGGTATTGGCTTTCGCCGCGTAGATCAAACGAACGATATAGGTTGAGACTGCTTCCACAGAGGTCGTTTTGTTTGGAAGTACCTAAAGTAACAGTCACGATGAGGTCAAAAACTCCATATCGCTATTAAATATGCACGAGTGGATTAATACAATCAAGGTCTTTCAGAATGTCTCGGAGGAAGTTGTTATTGTATTGCATTTTTCAGCCGTTTCGGAGTGCAGGCTTTCGTGATATGACCTTCATGAGCTTGAAAATAAATTATAATAGCAGTCGTTGGACGCGTGAAGGGCAAGGTTAAACTATGCAGATAAGGCTATGCAGATTAGATAGGATGTCGATTGCATTGGAATACGCCTATTTCGAGAGGTCCAAGTAAGAAAAAAATAAAATATATTCGTCCTAATTTTATCCATGTTTATGCATGAGACTACGAGGTAGCCGGTTTTTTTAATCTAGCCCTCAAAGAAAACTTTCATGGAGTTGAGAAGCTATGAAGAATGTGAACGGGTGATAAGACTTGCACCCTCGACATGCTCTACCGGTCATGAATAGCTGCATCATCTTGGAAGCCTTAGCTATCGATATGTAATTAGATGACTCACAGGAAAAAAAAAACATTCGCCGGCAAGTAACAACAAAGCTGAAGCTATTGCCCTCGTTGATGCGTGTAATAAAAAATGCGTTTATAGGAGCCGTTGACGTTAGTGTCGTTTACGAATCCCAGAAACAATTCATGCTGCTGTAAGTGCTTGAAGTGAATTAACGGTACTTTGCCATCATCCCTCAAGAGAAAGGCATGTAACAGCTTCATCTTACCGGAACTGACCTATGGAGCAGAAACCTGGTTGCCCAAGAAAGGGGTTCAACTTAGAATGATAACGATGCAGCAAGGCATAGAAATAAGAACGGTACGTGTAACCTTCGGAAACAAGAAGAGATCAGATTGAGCGATTGAACAAATGTCTATGAAGGACATCTCAGTCAATATCAGAAGTAATAAATAGGCATGGCCAGGGCACGCAGCATCTAGGAAAGGTAACCGATGGTCATGAGGAGCAACAGATTGCATTCCAAGAGACCGCAAGCGAGTGAAGTGAAGGCAGGAATTCAGGTGGGTGGATGAGATTAGGAAGATTGCGTGTATAGCGTGGCAGCTGCAAGCGCAGGACTGGGTGAATTGTCGAAACACGGGGCTTACTTTTGCCGACAAGTGGCGTCACGCGATAGTTGACAGTTGATGTCTGCACTAAAGCTGCGTATGAGCCTTTGAGCCGAGGCTTGAACTTGCCACACAGACCGGGTGTGCGAATGGGTGTCAAAAGCACCACTATAGTCACCCCTTCGGAATCACTGGACACATAACGTTCAGTCACCTAAACACTGATTTGTTAAGGTACAGTCATAGGGACACAGACAAAGTTTACACTTGAAGTCACACCTAACACGCTGTGATCAGACCAAGCTATATGCATAAAATCATCTCAAAAGGTATTATTTTTATGTTGGGCCATTGGCGCAGATGTCATTTTTTTTCTTGCTGTGGCAGCTGCATTTCTGATAGAGGCTGAAATATTGTAGGCGCGTGTGCTCAGATTCGGGTGCACGTTAAAGAACCACAGGTGGTCGAAATTGCCGGAGCCCTTCACTATGGCGTCTCTCATAATCTAATGGTGGTTTTGGGACGTTAAACCCCACACACCAATCAATCAATCAATCAATCAATCAATCAATCAATCAATCAATCAATCAATCAATCAAGCAATCAATCAATCAATCAATCAATGCTTTTTCTTCAATTTATATTGAACCCGTTGCGTCGAAAGCCTCTAAGCACATTCGCGAAATAAAACATCGTCGGTGCGCCCAAAAGGGAAAGGAAACCTTGGCCAAAGTTACAAGGATAATCAGGGCGATAAACACTGAGCGTCGAAGCTAAATTTAGACGGCACCAATACCAGCCGAAGGGCGAGTCATATCGCAGTGGGGCTTCGACTTTCGCTTTCGTATATCTCGTTGATCGTTTGCGGGATGAAGCTTGCGCCACTGCTGAAGGAGTCGAGAGATTGTGCAGACTTACAGATACCAGCGTAGCATCAATTTATTGTTATTACGCGATGTTATCCACGACAGCTCGAGAAAACCGCGTCATGTCGTGGAAAATATGGCCTCTAAGGATGATGTTCGCTCTGATCTGCGATTTCGAGACGCGATTACGCCAATGTGACCCGAACTGACGACGGCATGGAAAGGTAAGTATGTGCGTTGCCTTGCCCTAAATTGTATTGTTTCAATGCATGAGTATGCTGTACACGGATATAAACCCGATACCCGATGCGGTTTGGTTTGGTATGACCGTTGCTGTGATAGTTTTCTCGTGACTATTACGTCATGTCATTGAAAACGTCACTCCTAGAGGCAATGTTGGCTGTGCTGTAATTGTTAGAGTCAAAATTACAACGATATGACATGAACTGCTTATGCTGGAAAGAAAAGTAGGCGCATTCGATTGCCCTGAAATTTTGTCTTTAGACCGACGAGTGTGGCACAGTCGTGGCCACTATTGAAGAAGGCATATAAAACGTTTATCTATGATCGTGATGCATAGATCAGAATATTTGATCACAAAGCTGCTAGTTGGCCGGTATATGTTCGCGTTACAGAGTACGCATGTCAACTACAACGATCTCTTTGAGTCGATTTCAGCGCCTATACTTTCATGTTCCGCACATACATACATACATACATACATACATACATACATACATACATACATACATACATACATACATACATACATACATACATACATACATACATACATACATACATACATGGTTTTACAGTGGCAGATTCATTACTTGGCATTTATTACGGCGAAAAGCTCATGTTCCCTGTGTCAAGAAAATTTATATACTTGTCGTGTCCTGCTCGAGGCGTGTGAGGCACTCATATCGTGGACTAACTACCGTGTTCAGGCAGAAGCAGTTAACTGGGCCGAAACGGTCATGACAATTTTCTGGCCACCACCGCCCGTTGAATTAGTTCAACGACCTCACCTTTCCATAAAGCTGATTCTCTACTCTCTCTGCACGATACTTCGCGAGATATTACCAATGAAAAAAAAAAAAGTCGGCGAAACATGACGTGACACACAAGGGAATGTATGTGAGCCGCCAATTTACCAGCAGTCACCAGCTATTAATGTCAAATAACATATATTGACTTGATAATTTCCCTTTTAGAAAGAAATATTTCGATTAATCTTCTACAGCTAAGCATTTTCCAAATAAGTGTATTCAAATTTGTCTCTGAAAACATCCCTCATTGCCAAACGCCTTCATTACAAGCGGTCAACGCCCCATTATTTAGCTCTACGTCGAAACACCAACGCTTTCTATTGTCCTTGAAAGAGGAAGAGGTAAGGAGGTTACTGTATGACGCAAGTGAAGCAACACAAAGGCGAGATGAAACGAAGCGATTGCAATTTATTGCTCCGAAAACGCACTTTCACCCTTTCACTACCTTCCCACCTGAAAAAAAAAAAAAACCGACAGACTTGCGGCGCTGGTTTACCGATAGGTCTATCATACCTTCAGATCAGGAGACCTCTTTCACTCTTGTTGCATCCATTATCCACCCTCTCTGTCTGGCTCTGGGCATTCTGTCGCGCTGCACCTTTATGCATACGGCGCAGCCCCAGCTGCCAAGGGCGGTCTCACTTTGTATTTTGTGCATCCGGCACTTTCGCTTTCCCCTTCCCCTCTCCACATTCGACGCAGCACTTCAATTCCGCCCGAAAGCTTCATTTCTTGCGTTAGCGCATTCACCAACCTTCAGCACTGGGGTGGCTACCCTCTCGATGGCGACCTTGGGGTCGCCTATCGACAAAAACTGCCCTAAGTCACTGCGTCGTGGAAAAATTCGGAAAGTGGCTGTGCCACGACCAAGCTGTATGCATCGTCCCTACTCGATGCCACTACTACTATCGACGACATCCGAAGCCCGCTGCTGAGACCGAGTGACTTGGATACAGGTCTTGAAGTGGCCAGTGCCTTGGTTTGGAAAACACCATGCAGTCCGTGCTATTGGTGACGGCCACGCTCATACTGCCCGTGCACCTGCTGTGTCTTCGAGTGCCCCTGTTGATTGACGCCGCCGTTTATCTCGGCTCCTGGACACTGACCTTGGTGGCCAGCTACTGGCTAGCGTGCTTCTTCTGGAATAGGGTGCTGAAGAGATCGGTGGACACGAAGGGCAAGGCTGTGCTGGTGACGGGTGAGTGATTTCCTCGCCTCGTATTTTTCGATGGCAGCTCTTTGTGAGGCACACATTATGGCAAAAAAAAACAACAGAAAAAACCCCACGGAACTGCCAAGCCCCCGATGCGTACAACAGGGGGGTGTGTTCGTCACATGCGTGTTTTTCTGCGCCGTTCTCCAATGATTGATGCCCCTTTGCTCATGGCCTCGTTGGCGATCAGCCGTTCATGATGCGGCAATTTGATCTCTCTCTTATCGTGGTCACTTGTCATATTGTGTTGTGACAATTCATTGTTGCTTGAGTATGACATGACCGTTGTTGCGGTGCTTGTAACCATTTGGATGAAGGAATAGAGTTTCCTATAAATATAGTAGAGGAATCTGGCACTAGTGTCTATGGGAGTTGCAATGCACGGCGCTTGATCGAGCATGGGAATGATGGAGTAGTTCACGGATTTCTCTAGTGTTCGGACTTTCGGCTCCGGTCGGCTTCGCGCGGCTTCAAGTTGCTTTGTCACGAAACGACAATCAGCAACTGTTCAGCAGTTGCACTTGAATGCTTTCACCTTTTAGGCTGACCACTTCAAACCGGGTCACGAAGTTAAAAAGGGTTCGTTCCGTTTATGAAATGAAGACCTAAACACTGCAATAAACGAAGCCACAAGTGTGATTCGAGGCCTGCAAGTACGAAAACTTGGCAAATCCGTGCACTACCCATCATTCCCATGGTTGCTGAATGATCGCAGCGCCAGAGTTCTCTCTAGGTACATTTAGTAAACTCTATTAATGAAGGTCCGATTCCCGGTGTTGCCCTAATATTATTACCCTAATAACCTAGTACCCTATTATCCTAAAAACCCGATTACCCCGATAGTATTATATGGGACCTTACGGCCCGAAAAAGCCTGATATGATTACGGGGAACGCCTTAGTGGAGGACTCGGGAAGTTTCGGCTATCTGGTGTTCCTTAACGTGCACATCGCGCAGCGCGGGTCTCTACCATTTCACCTCCACCAATATGCGAGCGCCGCAACCGTAATCGAACCCCCGATCTTCTGGTCAGAGGCCAAGCACTGCACAGAATTATACGCGACTGCGCACGAATGGTGGGGAACTCTGCGCACGCGCACCCTAATGACCAAACGTCGTCAACGGACACTTTCCTTGTTCAATGGTTTATCAATCATTACTGCGTAGCTTTTCCGCATTTGGGTTGCGACACGCGTGTTTTGACTCCCCGCGATACCGTAAGGGGGCGTCTCGAAGCTAAGAGCTGGGTGTCCGCGACAAATAGCCCTTTTCACTCCCGCGGGCGAATGCGCAAGGCCACATTCAGCTTGATTATTTGGGTCTCTACACGGAGTTTGTTCAACCTAAGCACCCGCCTACTTCGAAGCTTTCCTCTTACGAACCACGCCACATTCTTGCAGGTGTCCATAGAAATTACGCTTGTGTTAAGTGTTTACAGGAGCACGCAGGGTTATCAGAAAGTGAAGAGCGCTTACGAGTCGATCCACGCTTCGCTGAGGATGTGAGAGGGATGCGATTTCCTTCTGCTCAATGCTCCATTGTGATGTTAGGTTACGCAACTACAGTTTGCGGGACACGTACAGCAATGGTGGCGCTCCCCTTAGGAGGCCAAATACACTCTGAACTGTTTTTCACGGTGTTGAGAACTGCTAGATGGCGCTACTTTATTGGTGCAATTCTTGAGTTAAAGTGGTTAGGGCTTATTAGATTTAGCAATGCCGGATGGAAAGGGCCTAGCTACACATAACTGGAACTTCCACCACCATCACCGATGAGTAATATTGTTTAACAAACAGAAAAAAAATGACGCTGCGAAGTCCCCATAGAGCGTTGCAGGTGTGTTCATAAGTTTTCACAAGCTCGGTTGGCACAACACTATTGAACGTTGTGGCGTTGCGGCAAATATCGAAGCTTCTAGACATGCGGATGTCAGAGAGGTGTTCAAGACTAAAGTTGTGCATGATGAAATAGCTTCGTTTGTTAAGGATCTTTCATGTTTCGCTTTTGCAAGGATAGATGATGGCTGCGTATGGTGATAATCGAAGGAGAGTTTCTACTAGACACTTGGTTTGAAACTGAGGAAAAGGTATGGTTATTAGCGTCTTTACTGAGTGAAGGCAGGAAAGAGGGGATCATCCTTATCGGTAAAGATGTGGTGATGTTGATGCTTGCGGTAAACGGTGCGTAAAAGGTGTGACAAAATGTTCAACTTGCCTAAACTTAAACCAAATACCTTAAAATTATTTAAAATTATTAAAATTGTTACTAGGCGACAATTGTTGATTGATTTGATATGTGGGGTTTAACGTCCCAAAACCACTATATGATTATGAGAGACGCCGTAGTGGAGGGCTCCGGAAATTTAGACCACCTGGGGTTCTTTAACGTGCACCTAAATCTGAGCACACGGGCCTACAACATTTCCGCCTCCATCGGAAAAGGCGACAATTGTCACTGGCGACGATTCCACGAAGCAACCTCAGTGATGGCTATCGATGCGGCACGCAAGTGCTTGTTATTTCCGTAGGGAATGTCATACGGCACCTGACACCAGAATTCATTGTGCTTTGCTTATGCAAAATGGTACAAACTAAACTATATGGCAATGTGCACCAATATGGTACACCCATAAGTGAAGATTACTTTATAGATGTGCTTCTCAACACGAAAACCTTTAGGGGTGCCTAATTTGACGCTAAAAAGAAAAAAAAAATATTTTTTTTCCGTTATATGTAAATCACTGTTTCACAATAGTAAAATCACCACGCTTGCCTCAATAAAGAGCTAGATTTGCGATACAGTCGGCAACGACACCTTGAAATGCCCGCACCAAACGTTGCGACATCCTACATTCTCATAGCATCTACTACGTCTTACGTCGTTCCTAACTCGTAGGAATCCAGTACCCTGCATTTCTAGAATGCCATATCTGTAGCACACTAAGTTTCAAGAGCATTCGCGCAGCGAGTGTGCCTGAAATACGAAAAATCTGCTTGGAAATCTTCGTGGAAAATTCAAGAGCAACACGCCGATTCGGATTTTCTCTTTTATCCATAGACGAATATTAGTGAAATATGCGTCATCGAAATTTTCAGGGTACAATTTATCAATCTAAACCATTTCATTGTATTACTTCCCGGTCCATTTAGAGTAATATTGTTATTGTGGAGGTTATGCATTTCCTTTCCTTTCAAGAGGCCAACAACTTTTCCGGGGCGTTTGACAAAGAAGGAAAGTAGTGGGACTGTCCCCCTCCCCCCCTCCTCCTTTCCTCTTCGCCAGAATGAAAATGTCTAGCGCGCTTATCCCGTTGATTGGTGTCTGTTAACCGCCGGCAGCATGATCGTGATAGCATCTGCGGAAAACCGGTGGGTGCGGGCGCGTATACAAGGCGGTACCTTGCCTTTCAGCGTTTCCTTTCGCCGGTGTACTTGCGACATCGGCCTCCGAGCGTGGTTAACCTTAGAGTGGCCACCAGAACAGGGTCGCATAGGGCCGTACCATGCACTGCGGCCGGGAGTGGATAGTGTTGTGGAGAACTCAACCCGAGGTCGAAACGGCTAAAGTATGGCCGCACCTTATACCTTCAACTCTTCTAATGAACGGTATGTAGTGTTTCGAGACATTGCGCTTATCCCAGCAGCTTCTGTCGCCTTGTTTCTTTGTTTTGCTTCATTTGAAGCAACATCGGTTGTTGTCTTTGAAAAAATACTTACCATGAAGCCCGCAAGTTTTTTTTTTTGGGTGATATTGACATGGTTGCGACAAGAAAGATTTGTAACATTTGGCTGGTGTGCATCCGTGCGTCGTTTGTGAGTGCGTGTGTATTTGTGCGTGCTAGAATGTTCTCCCACCATGGTCAGTCGCACAGTTCAAGCTTATTTCGATTGTCAATCGAATAGCCCATCAACGTACTTAGTCACGCAATGTTCGCTTGGGAAAGTGCCAGAACTTTCAAGAGCCTAGGTGTAGACTAGTTAGGAGATTCATGATTAACAGTTGCGACCCCTCAACCACACGGGACGCAGGAAGAGAAAACCGCTTCGTCTTGCCTCTGTGCGCGTCTCGCGTAGCTTGATTGATTGATATGTGGGGTTTAACGTCCCAAAACCACCATCTGATTATGAGAGACGCCGTAGTGGAGGGCTCCGGAAATTTCGACCACCTGGGGTTCTTTAACGTGCACCCAAATCTGAGCACACGGGCCTACAACATTTCCGCCTCCATCGGAAATGCAGCCGCCGCTGCCGGGATACGAACCCGCGATCTGCGGGTCAGCAGCCGAGTACCTTAGTGACTAGACCACCGCGGCGGGGCTCGCGTAGCTTTGCGATCACATTTGCAAAGCCAGAACTTCCGCAAACTTGATCATTTAGCGGCGTTCCGATCCCGAATTTCGGAACAAAGCGCTCGCCATATGACACAGCGGAGGCAATTCCTCAGATTGAGTTTAACTTCGGAACACTTAGGAACACTGTAAGGTAGAGAACCGGCTTTCCTGGACTGGTTAACCTCCCGGACTTTTTTTTGTCTACCATTACATCTCTCCTAGCTGTGCTTCTGCCAAGAAACATTCGACAGAGAGAACATGGCTTCACAAACGCTCGACAGAGGAATGTGAAACGGTACACGTACCAAAACGGGATGCTTAAGGCCATTTAAGCTAATAAATCAGCGAGAATTCCGCGAGCCAGTAGCAGCTTACGCCACTTTTAAAGAGTTTATGTTGTGAAAACGGGTGTGTAACTGGTCTGTTACGCATAGATCGCGGGACATCTCACGCTAGTGAGCAAATCTTTCTTGCCGCGTTGCTTGTTGACATTGGCATCACTTCTATCGCGCCATTTTCGTTAGCTTTCTCAGCCGCATCATTGGCGTGCTCGTTACCGATGATGCCGCAGAAGACTGATACATCTGAAGAGTTCTACCATGTATGCCCTTTGTCTGTTAGTTAATGGTGCCGGTTCCTTACGTCCGGCACTAATTAATCTTGCGGCTCACGGCGCACAGCAGACACGGGATACGCGTGCTCGTTTTCTTTGCCGCCAGAAGCTAAATATAGCCAGCATGCAAAATGCAAAAGAGTGGCTTGTTGGGTGAGTAGGTTGAGCATCATGATAGAATTCAGTGCAGAAAGACTGCGCTGATGGTAAATCGCGCTGTGTTTATGAGGTTATTTCTTCGTCCTTGTCTTTTGCACTCATATCTACTATCATGCTAACTTGTGCCTTTTCTTAACGGTATGCTATCGATAAAAATGTAGAATGAGCGAAAAATAAATTGTCTGTGCTTATCGTGAAACTTTCCGTTGTGCTTTGGTCCACGTACAAGACCGGATGCTAACGTCACGACGTAAGCGATGAACGATATCGATCCACGGTGCTTCTCACAGTGCACAGAGAAAAAGATATTGACCAACCAGGGTAAGTGCATACAACATTACCCTACGAGCGCATACAGTTATGTTAGAATTTTAAATCGCAATCTGAAAGCCAGATTGCATACGAAGACACACACCAAGGACCACCTGACCATGGAGTATAATACAGTGTTGCGTCAGGGCGCACTGTTTTTCATTTAGTCGGCTAGACATGAAGTTAGCCTTCCTGGCGTGGAGAAAGCCAACTTGTTTAGAAACAAGCTGAAACTAAATGCATTCATTCGAACAGTACGGCCTACGCCCGTCCGACCTCCAGATCTGATACTGCGATCTTGGATAGCAGTCATCCAATTAGACTGAAAATGGAAGCGAGGTTGTACATTGTCCTAATTGGTCTCTGATAAGATCACAGAAACAAGAAACACTCTAGAAGAAAGAAGACACCTTGAGATCAATAGCGCAAAAAATGCTACAGCAGATAATGATAAAAAAGAGCGATCGGTAAATTGGTGTGAGGCTGTAACTATATATGACCTCGATGCGTTTGCATTCGAAGATTAATGTAGTGCATGTCTTAAATAACACCCGAAAGCTAGGAGATACCATGAACTCAACAGTTCTGAGGATTAATGTGAACCGCTTAACTGCTGAAGCATTTTCTAGACAGTGTTCAGATGATTAAGCGAGTAACGTCAGGGAGAGACATGTTATAAAATTTCACTCCGGTTTATTTTCAAAGGAGTAAAGTTGGGCAAGAAAAATAATGTAACCGTAACATTATATAAGATAATAAGTGGAAGTAAATCACCAGACTTACATTCATTTAAAAAACTGCAGTTTATTTGGTATAAAAAAAGCCTTCAGTTCTCATCTACAGATGCTGTAGAAGAATAACAAAATAAATGCCTTTTTTTTCTTGTAATGTACAGTACATTCGAGGACAGCAGCATAAAAATGCTGTTTGACCAATATAACTTAATTGTCATGAGGTAAATTAGTAAAGTGCTGCAATATTTTAACTAACTTAGCTGGGTGAATCGACACCGAAACAATGTGATTTTTATAAGTGTTACAGGCTTTTATCAGTAGTCATAAGACATCATACTCAGTGAAACGAATGTGGTACAACTTAGAATATACCGCTACAACCAACACCCCCCTCAACAACAACAACAACAAACAACAACAACAACAACAACAACAACAACAACAACAACAACAACAACAACAACAACAACAACAACAACAACAACAACAACAACAACAACAACAACAACAACAACAACCATGTTAAGCTGTCGAATGTATATAGTGTTTGAAAATAAATGACAATCAATTTTATGAATGTTGAAGCACACTTCGATGTTTACTCAATGAGTAAATAAATAGATGAATGAATGAATGAATGAGTGAAAGTGTGGGATTTTACCTGATAATGTCGTGCTTTGTATTGCTTCATGAGGGAAATTCTTTGTACGGTGGCTGGACTAGGCCAGTCGCGGTGTTGTTATGTGACTGAGTGTAGTGTTATTCTGAGCATACACATTGTTCTTGCGATTGCATTTTACGTGAACTGGACCCTACTTTATGTTATTTTCCTTGCTTCTTCGTAGAGGGTCTTCATGTGTACGCGATAAATTTTATGGTTTGACATACTTGCACAAATTGTTCGTAGGTGCCCTTTTACGTATCTTTTTTTTCCTTGCCATGATTTTCACGAATTATATGACCTGTGAAGAGGAGTAGCTGGAGCAATTCAAAACCACTAACGTGTTTTAAACGACATATATTCAAGAAAAACTTCATGCATTGAAGTGAAAGTTCAGATGTAACCAGATATTTAAAATTCAGTCGTAGAAACACGGCTGATTCCGAAAAAAATATTTCCACTCAGTACTACGATAGAGTAGTAAAAACTTGAATGGACTGAATGAATCTTTTTCAGGTTGTGACACGGGCTTCGGCCATCACGCAGCGAAGCGCTTTGCGGACGACGGCTTCACCGTGTTCGCCGGCTGCCTGGATGCTGCTTGCGACGGCGCCAAAGATCTCACCAAACGTCCCAACATACGTGTCCTCCAGCTGGACATCACCAAGGACGAACAAGTTGAGCAGGCACTCCAGGCCGTGAAGACGAACTTAGGATCTGATGGTGAGGAGACTTCAGAGAAACTAGGCCTCCAAGGCACTTTGTCCAACAGAGTGTAACGTCGTTAATAGAAACCTGGGCTAATAATAATAATAATAATAATAATAATAATAATAATAATAATAATAATAATAATAATAATAATAATAATAATAATAATAATAATAATAATAATAATAATAATAATAATAATAATAATAATAATAATAATAATAATAATAATCACAATAATGGGTATTACGTCCTAAAACCTCCATATGGTTATAATAGACGCCGTAGGTTAAGAAAGATGCCGTAGCGGAGGGCTCCGCGAATTTTGATCATCCAGTGTTTTCAAAGTGCACTTAGAACACGCAGGTACTACGAGCCTCTTCTATTTCACCTTCATCGAAATGCGACCTCCGTGGCGGGGATCGAACTCGCGACCATCTGCTCAGCAGAGACATCTGGGCTGAATCATCGTAACTTACTTTAACTTTTTTCACATAATATCATGATACAGGCTATAGGAAGGGCAACAGAGAGAAAAACCTGTGATTATGTCATCGAATAATGGTTTCAACCTGCTTTCTGTCAAATGTAAAGGCGAGGAAGTGAAATAATGTTATTCGAATGCAGTACATAGATAGAAGATTAGCCACTCTGCCTAAGGGACAGCCAGTAGGCTTTGAAGTCCCGGCGGTGTCTTTGATGAACTGGATGATCCAGAGGTGAAGCACGAGAGATTTTCAATTTCATTATAAGAAATGACTACGTAGAAAGAAAAACAATATCGTGTGTGCAGCGTGCAGTACTCAGCAGCACACAATTTCCCTTAGAATTTACTTAGCACTATAAAAGAACGACCTTTCAAGTATTGTAAATAGAATATTACTAAGCATGCTTGGGTATACCTTGTTCCTTGATCTTTTCGCTAAGAGGCCCCGAAGAGCGAAAACAGGAACATATAACGTCACTACTTAGCTGGAACCGAACCACCATCTCATCACAGCAAGGCAGCTAAAGTAGGACAGAAGGCTAAACAAAGGAACTGCTTGGGTTTGTGTGCATGAATTTTCATATTTACTCTGTCGGTTGGCTCTCTTCCTAATCTTTTCGGTGACTTGCAGTGCTCTGGGCGGTGCTGGCCAACGCAGGCATAACAGCCGCGGGCCCAGTCGAGTGGAACTCCATGGAAAGGATCAAGCGGATCTTCGAGGTGAACGTGTTCGGACACATGCGGGTAGCCAAAGCGTTTCTTCCATTGCTGAAGAAGTCCAAAGGTCGTCTAGTCATCGTCACAAGCGGCCTTTGTGAGTGCTGTATATGATAGATGTGTTTTCAAGACGATGCTATTTTCATATTAGACACTAGTATATCTGACTGCTTTGATGATGTGTGGTGTTTGGTGGCGCAGGGGCCATTTGATGACCAGAGAGCGCCACTTCATGAAATAAGAGACGTGGATAATGAGTATAATGAGTTCCTGCATGAGCGTCTTGAAATTCCGCGCTCCAAATTGGGAAAACATATGAGTATTTAAAATATTAGAGTGACGTAAAATCTGTGTAGTGAAAATGAATGGCCTGTGGTGGTGAATAATTGATAGATATGTTGGGTTTAACGCCCCAAAACCTCCATATGCTTATGATAGACGCCGTAAGGGAGGGCTCCGGAAATTTCGACCACCTGGGGTTCTTTAACGTGCAGCCAAATCTGGGCACACGAGCCTACAGCATTGCGCCTCCATCGGGAATTCAGCCGCCGCAGCCGGGATTTGATCCCGCGTCCTGCGGGTCAGCAGCTGAGTACCTTATTCACTAGATAAAGTTGGGGTGGTTATATGGGACGATATGGCACAAGTTTAGCGAACACCACCAGTAAAATTCTTGCTTACAACACGTTAGTGCGTCCTAAAGTCGAATATGCGTCACTAATCTGGAGCCGGCGTCAGACATACTTCATTCATAAATTAGATTCTAGACGAAATAAAGCTGCTCTATTTATTGCCAAAAACTACCTGCAAACATAGAGTATAACAAAAATTAAATCTTCAATTGAACTTGTTCCTCTGGAAACATGTAGGCTTGTCATACCTCTTTCTTTTTTTTCCATAAAATTCATCACAATTCGTCATGACGTGCTACTTTTCATATCAGAGACGCTCATCGTGTATATATCATCGCGACTTGATCAATAACATAAAGTCGAGCCCACCTCAGCCCGTACCAATCTTCTCTTCAACTCCTCGCTACTACGAGTCATTCGTTCATGGAATCAGCTTCCTTCTGACATTGGAGTTATTAATAATCATATTGCATTTTAAACAGTCTGAAATGTAAATTTAACACTTAGATTATTTGATGTCGAATTTCGCCTTTTTTGTCACTTGTATTCTCGAAATTTTGGACACTAAACTGCAATTCGTAATTTATTTGTTGTTCCTTGCATTTGGGTGTCTTGTGTATTTTGCTCGAGCATTTTGTATATTCTAAGGAGGTTGAATTACTCTCCTTTTCACTATTTGCACATTTATGTACTTTCCGAAGACATATTATCATGGCTGGAACCCAAGTAATACTGTGCTATCTTATCTTTTTTCCGCCACCTAATTCGGTTGAAACACCTGTGTTAGTGCTTCTTTCGTTGCTATGTCACTTGTATTGTTAGAGAGATTTTAAGTATCTGACATCTTTGAATTACAGCTGTATTTAATATTTACACATTTGTTTAGCTTCATAAGACATTAATTTTGCTACGACAAAGACATCGCTGTACCATCTTAGATGACTGTTTTGAAGTCGTGCTACGCTGTATTATTAATAATTTTGTCACCCCTACGTAATGCCTTCGGGCCTTTAGTGCACATGAGTAAATACCTACAATTAAGTGTCTCGTCAACGCCCTTGAGTCCAAGGGCCGCGAGGCAGGTGCTTTCTTTAATGGAGCCCCCACAGCAACTTCGACCGGTGGACCGGTCTTTGTTGGAGTTTGCGAACACTTCTTCGCACACCTTGACTAAGATCGATCAACCAGTCGATACCGTTCGAAACAAAACTGCTAAGTCATGTCTCATCTCTAGCCCAGTCAGTACGTTTGGCCCATTTGAAAAACTTCTTTATTATATATATATATATATATATATATATATATATATATATATATATATATATATATATATATATATATATATATATATATATATATATATATATATAGGCAGGCATGGTGGTTGAGTGGCCGTAGCGTTGTATATAGTCCAGTAGATCCTCCGTGAGTGGTCACAACGTGGTTTATTTCGACGTTTCGGCCTAGAGTCAGGCCTTCATCAGGATTAAAGGTACAGTTTGTTGGTGCTCAGCTTTATACAATCTCAAATCAGAGGGAAAGGAAAGAGGAAAAATACAGAAAAAAAGAAAAAAAGAAGAAAAAAAAAGAAAAGAGAAAAAAAGAATATAAGGTGGACTCCCCTCGGGCGCCCCCCTTCCACTCTTTCTTCCACTTCCACTTCATCTCTCTCCCCTTTCTCCCCTTCACCTTTCTGATGTCAGTGGTCTGTGTATGCTTCCTTTCACTAACGCATTCTTCCCGACCAGACGGCGCCTCCTGGCACTGGCGGTTCGGTGTGGGGCAAAAAAGAGCTTTTTTAGGAAGTTCTTAGCCTTTAACTACTCGGAGCCCTGTCAACATTTCGTCGTAGAAAGAGAGGTACCGCGTATTGGGGCAGAGGCTGGTAAGCGGGCATGTTAGGAAGTTTTAAGCCTTTAACTACTCGGGGTCCCGTCAACATTTCGTCGTAGAAAGAGAGGTACCGCGTATTGGGGCAGAGGCTGGTAAGCGGGCATGTTAGGAAGTTTTAAGCCTTTAACTACTCGGGGTCCCGTCAACATTTCGTCGTAGAAAGAGGTTTGCCGCGTATTGCGGCAGGGGCTGGTAAGCGGGCGCAATGCGAATTCCTTGCCCGCTTCTGGATTACGCGTGCAGTGGGGGCCTCCCAGCTGTGCACAGGGTTGCTGTTGGGCATGGCACAATTGATTGGGTAGTAAAATAAAAGAGAAAACAGACGACAGCTCCACTTAGGAAGAGTAGTTACACTTGGAATCGTTTTGAGTTGTCCAGTGCCCTTCGCAGCTGCAGTGCCGTGAACTCAGTGACTATTTTCATTATTGCCGTTATTATTTTCTAATGCTTTAATTACTGCAAGTGTTCCAGGATTCTCATTTATTCCTCTATCGAGGGTGTTAAATCGGTGGATAAGGTATGACTCTCGTTGTTCACGTTCTCGATTTGATTTAAATCCCGTCTTTAAGAGCGTTACTGATAGTTTGTCGAATGCATCATGGTCGGGAAGATTGAGATGTTTTGATAGAGGTAGACTTGGGGCTGATTTCGCATGGACTCTGTGATTATTGAAGCAAATCCTGAATGGTGTTTCTGTTTGTGCGATGTACTGCATACCACACACGTTGCATTCGAGTAGGTATACCACATTAGAGGAATCGCATGTTAGGTTTCCTCGTATGTTAATCGAAAACTTGGATTGTGTGCTGGTTGCTTTGTGTGTTTCTCACATCACCTTACATACAAGACATCGTGGCTTTAAACAAGGTCGGCATGAATTATTGGGGGGTGATGTGTTAATTTGAGAGTGGACAAGTGTGTATTTGAGGTTACGTGGTCGTCGGTAAACGACACCTGGAGCAGATGGAAATGCGCGTTTCAGACGTTCACTTTGTTCCAGAATATTGTAATGTCGTATAAGGATTTTGTTTACATTGGGGAAGTTTGTGCTGTAAGTCAAGCAGAGGTTTGTTCGTTGTGGGTCTTCTTGCGGTGGTCGCTTCATAAGTAAGTTTTCACGCTTTAGTTTTCTCGCTTTTTGAACAGCGTCATTATTTGCATGTGGGGGTGTTTTTGTTTCTCGAGCATAAGTTTTAGCCTCTGTGAGCTCGTGTCAAAGTCAGTGTCTCTAGAGCAGATTCGCTTAAACCGGTGAGCCTGGCTGTATGGAATACTGTTTTTACAGTGGCGTGGGGGATCACTTTGGTAATGAAGGTATTGTTGTCGATCCGTTGGTTTGCGATTTAAGGTTGTAGAGAGCTTCTCTTCTTCTATCATTATGGTAACATCAAGAAAATTTACGGTAACTTGCGAGTATGTGTGTGTAAAGTGTATGTTCGGATGTACAGCATTGTAAGTGTCGATAAAGCTGAGAAGTTCGTCCTCGCCGTGGGTCCAAATAAGAAAGATGTCGTCTATGTATCTTCTGTATAACATTGGTTTCAAGGAACTTTGTGCAAGAAATTCAGATTCCAGCTCTTCCATAAATATGTTGGCATAATTAGGTGCCATTTTGGTGCCCATAGCGGTCCCTCTTATTTGTCGAAAATACTCTTGGTTAAAATCGAATGAATTTAATTCGAGGACCATCCTCATCAAAGTTGCAATGGCAGAGAAATCTGCGGTGTTAGATTGTCCATGTTTTGTGTACATGTTTTGTAATGCAGCTATGCCGTCATCGTGAGGAATATTTGTATACAATGAAGAGACATCAACAGTAACCAAGTACGAGTTTTTCGGCACACACAGACCTGCAATGTCTCGAAGAAAATGTGTGGTGTCTTTTATGTACGACGCGAGGGTGCATGGAATGTGGCTTATTTGTTTGTCCACGTACCCTGATATGGGTTCAGTTATTGTATCGATGCCTGATATGATTGGTCGACCTGGGTTACCAGGTTTATGAATTTTTGAGAGGATGTAGAAGCGACCTGGACGAGGGTATGTTTCTCGCATTAGTTTGTGGTCAGTGTTGGTTATCTTTTCTGCATCCAACAGTTTCTTTAGTTCTGTTGATACGGTACGTTTGTATTCGCCTGTCGGATCACCTGGGAGGCGTTCGTAAAATCTTAAGTCGTCTAGTTGGCGGTATGCTTCTTGTAAGTAGTTGGTTGTATTAAGGACTACAATTGCTCCTCCTTTGTCAGCGGGTTTTATTGTTATGTCTGTCCTAGATGCCAAATTTCTCATGCTTATTTTTTTCAGATTTTGTCAAGTTTTCTCGGTTTTCTTTCTGTCTGTGGTATTCGTGTACTATATCTTTCTGTACTGCGGTGATATAAAGGTCCAAGCATTTATCTCGATTACTGTTAGGTGTCCAATCATTTGATTTACGACGGTGAATTGTTTCGTGGTTAGAAGGCCTGTCCAAGAAATATTCGCGCAACCTTAAGCTTCGAGCGAAGTTGTCGAGGTCTTTGATCAAGTGGAATTCATCGAAAAATTTTGTGGTCGGGCAGAAGCTTAGTCCCTT